GAGAACGCTATAGTTGGGTTGGTGTCCCGACTATCAAATACCCGTCACTCAGTTAAAGGGAGTGCGAGAGAGATGGAAATATAACATTTTTTGATTGCGCATAACTTTTTAATGTATGGCCCGATTTAAAAAAATGTCTTCTACATTTCGATAGGTATAAATATACACAACAAAATTGCATTTATACTTCTCGGAAATGTTTACTGGTGTGGGCGCCAGACACATTTCAAAATCGTTAGTGGCCAATTGTTAGCGTTATCGGGGGCGTGGCGCTCGGCTGAAACAAACTTGCGCTGCGTAGCACAAGAATATGTGGGAAATCTCGACCTTCTAGCTTTTGTAGTTTCCGAGATCTCAGCGTTCATACGGACAGTCAGACAGACAGACAGACGGACAGACAGACGGACATGGCTAGATCGACTCGGCTAGTGATCCTGAATATATATACATATATATACTTTATGGGGTCGGAAACACTTCCTTCTAGCTGTTACATACTTTTGCACGAATACAATATACCCTTTTACTCTACGAGTAACGGGTATAATTAACATAGGAATTTAATCATACTGATAAATAAGTAATCAGGAATCAAGTTTTTCTTGCTAAACGCTTATGATTCTCAGTAAAAAAAATTATCTCTTAAACCCATAATCACAAATTCAACCGAATTCATGGTTTCTATTAATAATTCTGTAATTCTTATCGATATTCGTTAAGTTGGCAGTCTTTAAATTTAATTATTTAAGGGCTTTTTAAATGGCTTCAAACTACTTTTTTTTATGTTTTTAAATTTACTAATATTTTAGGAAGTTAAATGAATATTTTAAAGGTTTCAGTACTCGTTTATTAAGGATTGAAATTTGTTTTTTTGAATTTACCGCCCATCATTTTTAATAGGGCAGCAAATCGGGATTTTAGGATCGCTCGAAACGGAGAACTTTGGTTTGGTTAAGGTTGCAGGACCTGGCCACACTCCAAACGCAGAATAAAAAAAACAGAATAAATTTCGCAAGCTTACAAATTCGCACGGGAGTCTGATCTTTCGCTCAAAGTGATTATTAAATAAAAACACCAATTAACATGGCAGAAGCTGTGAAAAAAGGTAAAAATCGGCACTCGGGGAGTGCTGGAAGGGGCAAGCGACCAATGGCGACTGTCTGATTGGATTGTTTTTTTTCCACTTAGGCCTGTGCGTTTCACAGAGTTGCATTTCCTAGTTTTTTGGCGGTTTCAATTTGAATTTTGGTTCTCGATTTGATTTATTTGCAGAAAGTGGCGGTGTCCAGCAGCGTCCTTTGGATGGCGGCGGAGGAGGAGGAGGTGGTGGCAGCGGGGGAGGAGGCGGCGGAGCAGGAATGCCCAAACGGAAGCATCGCCGGGGCAAAAAGTCCAAGATGCTGCCCAAGAAGACCAAGAATCATTACCCACAGTGGAAACTCGATATGCCAGCCGGTGCGGGAGCCACGCTCGAGGGAAATACCCGCCAGAATAGTCGCACCAAGCTGGTCCGCTCGCGATCCCTGCTCGTGCCGTACAACACCAACCGCTTCCTGATGGAGGAGCACATGTCCGAGCTGCACAAGGACGACTCCGACGACAACTGCTTCAACTCGCAGACCGAGGACCAGGTGCTCTTCCTCTCCAAGGAGTTCTCCAATGTCTACGAGCGGGCGCGACTCGAGCGGCTGGAGACGATGAGCAAGCAGGAGCTCATCCAGGAGTGCCTGCAGATCGAGGATCGCTACTCGAAGGCCCAGAACGTGTCCAAGGAGTTTGGCGCCAAGATTCGAGCGCAGGAGGAGAAGATGCGCCAGCTGAACAGGGAGAATCAATGTGAGTAGGCAGGGCTGTACTGCCAGGTCAGACATTTAGTGGCTATTTCTAGCCACTTTTAAAATATGTGACATTTTTTTTTTGTAAGTGCTATCAGCCACTAAACTAGCCATTTTTAATTTTGTTTAGCTATTTTAGCCATTTAACTACAAGACAAGAAATTTTTTACTTTTCTTTAGTATTATTGCTTTTTTATCCACGAGAAACGTGACAGGCCAATTTGGGTCAAACCTCAGAATCAATCAAAACTTTTTTTTTCGGTAGAGGATTGAAATATAGGGCCGGTTTTTTTTTATTTTTTTTTATCTTTTAAGGTTTATTTTTTAATAATTTTTCGGTTTTCTAAAAACGATCGAGAGAAAACGAAAAGAGAAGCCCTGGGGTTCTTATCATTTCCTACAGATAAGAGTTTTTTGATGAAATCAAAATGATTTTATTAGGGAAAGAAGATAGTGGAATTCCTATTCAAATTTCTGATTTAGAAAGAAGGATAACTAGGTCCATGGCTTTATTATAAAAGTTTTTAGTTTTTTTTAAAGTTTTTTTTTTCTAGTTCGGTTCTTAAAACAATGTATATAATTATAAATGCTTTCCCCTAATTTCTAATTGTGTATTTATGAATCTTCTTTAAAAATATACAAATTATTTATTATTCAAGTAAATTAATTTTTGTATTTTTTTATATAACACTCAATTTTAAGATTATACTAATGGAAGCTTTGTTATCATTCAACTACACTTACATATATTCTGTTTTGTGAGAACTCCAAATTTATTTATAATCTTAGTCTTAGTCCTCATTAAACCCTTTGTTATTTTGTAGGTTTGCTGCCCCAGCACCGCCGGTTTGGGAGCCCTGACCCACCCACTTTTGCCCGCGGATTGCGGGACGGTTCGTTGGCAGCGTTCGAACGACACGGATACGAAGATCAGGGAGTTTCCCTGGCTGGCTCTTATCGAATACACCCGAGGTAAGTGGGTTTTTTTTTTGTTGCTAAAATGCAGACCAGTAATTTAGACTTTCTCCCGCCAGGCAATCATGAGAAGATCCACGCGTGCGGTGGAGTGCTTATCAGCGATCGCTATGTGCTAACCGCTGCCCACTGTGTGGCTCAGGCGGCGGTGGGTAATCTGCAGATCACAGCGGTTCGTCTGGGGGAATGGGACACGAGCACAAATCCCGACTGCCAGTTCCATCAGGACACTCAGGTGGCGGACTGTGCTCCTCCGTACCAGGATATTGGTGTCGAGGAGCTGCTGCCGCATCCGCTGTACAATCGAACGGACAGAACTCAGATCAACGACATTGCCCTCGTCCGTTTGGCCAATCCTGCCAAGCTCAATGACTTTGTGGTTCCCATTTGTCTGCCCAACAAGCAGTTGCGGGCCGATGAACTGGAGGGTCTGGTCACCGAGGTGGCTGGCTGGCAGGCCAGATCCTCGCCCAGGATGCGAAAGAGCTATGTGACCATCAGCTCCATCGAGGAGTGCCAAAGGAAGTACGCCGGCCAGCAGTTGCGCATCCAGGCCTCCCAGCTCTGCGGGCTGACCAATTCCAAGGAGTGCCACGGAAACGCCGGCGGACCACTGATGCTGTTCAAGAACGAGGGCTATCTGCTGGGCGGCCTGGTGTCCTTCGGTCCCGTGCCCTGTCCCAATCCCGACTGGCCGGATGTCTACACCCGAGTGGCCTCCTACATCGATTGGATCCACGACAGTCTGAGGGCGTAGAAATACAACCCTTGCGGTTACAACTGATGTCAGTAAATGTTTGGTGCCAAATAAAATTTTTGAAATAAAACAAGAGAGAACGCTATAGTTGGGTTGGTGTCCCGACTATCAAATACCCGTCACTCAGTTAAAGGGAGTGCGAGAGAGATGGAAATATAACATTTTTTGATTGCGCATAACTTTTTAATGTATGGCCCGATTTAAAAAATGTCTTCTACATTTCGATAGGTATAAATATACACAACAAAATTGCATTTATACTTCTCGGAAATGTTTACTGGTGTGGGCGCCAGACACATTTCAAAATCGTTAGTGGCCAATTGTTAGCGTTATCGGGGGCGTGGCGCTCGGCTGAAACAAACTTGCGCTGCGTAGCACAAGAATATGTGTGGGAAATCTCGACCTTCTAGCTTTTGTAGTTTCCGAGATCTCAGCGTTCATACGGACAGTCAGACAGACAGACAGACGGACAGACAGACGGACATGGCTAGATCGACTCGGCTAGTGATCCTGAATATATATACATATATATACTTTATGGGGTCGGAAACACTTCCTTCTAGCTGTTACATACTTTTGCACGAATACAATATACCCTTTTACTCTACGAGTAACGGGTATAATTAACATAGGAATTTAATCATACTGATAAATAAGTAATCAGGAATCAAGTTTTTCTTGCTAAACGCTTATGATTCTCAGTAAAAAAAATTATCTCTTAAACCCATAATCACAAATTCAACCGAATTCATGGTTTCTATTAATAATTCTGTAATTCTTATCGATATTCGTTAAGTTGGCAGTCTTTAAATTTAATTATTTAAGGGCTTTTTAAATGGCTTCAAACTACTTTTTTTATGTTTTTAAATTTACTAATATTTTAGGAAGTTAAATGAATATTTTAAAGGTTTCAGTACTCGTTTATTAAGGATTGAAA